CATGTTTGTGAAGGCTAAGAGCCCACCCCCATGTGTGGCAATAAAATGGCCTCACTGGGTTTTCTCTAAGTAAGAGAAATTCATCAAAGCACATATTAAATCACTTATTATGGCATCACCATGGCTAAAATGAGAGCCCACATCAGGAAAAAAGCTGTAAGGGATGGGAAGGCGTGGGAACTGAAAGAAGACACATGGTGAGAGATGCCATGTGCCTAAAGAAAAACTATGCTATTTTAGTTTACAAGATCTAGCCTGCTTGGTGTACTCTAACAAGCAGAATGGAGAGCTCATTTAGGGTATGTGCAAACCAACTGGGTGATCATAGGGACTAGAATAGAACAACAGCTGGCACAGTAATGTGACTAAGATATCACTCTAGATATATACAAATCCAACGGTTACTTGCAAATTACTTTAGCCTTGGTCTTTCAAAGACAACTAAAAAAGCTGTATATTCAGATATCATTTATTTTCAATCAGATCAGGGGCCTTACTTCCTGACATTCTTGACAATTCCTCACTAGACTTGCTTGGTATTCCTATGGGAGCAGTATTAAATCTTCCTTTATCAGTTACAGGAAGCCTTTCTGCCTGTCAATCTGTAATAGGCTCAGTTTTGGTTTCTTCTTTGCCATTTAAAAAATAAAGTTATATAAGAACAAAGAAAAAAAAAATAGCTTACACACTGGCAGTGAGCAGTGCTAAAAAGCATCCAAGGCAATTTTGTTGTACTCTATATTTGTTCTTTGCAAATTCATACTCTGACAGTAGATTTTAAGATCTCATATCCAAAACCCCGTAATAAATGTCACCAACTCAAAAGCTAGTGAAAACAAAGGTCTCAATTAGAAAAAGATGATAAGGTACAGTAAATAACACTTCCAGTTTCTTAACTCCTACATTTCCATTACTGCTGTTCAAATTCATTAAGGTGCTATGCTGCCTGCATTTGATAGATGAAGTTTAAAAATGTTTCTTGTGACAAAGGAGAGATAAATGCTTTTTACATTTCTTATTTCAAGAGATGCTTGAAGACTCCTGTCTATATTTTCTAATGCTTTAGCTCATTTCTGACCTGGTATTTTATTTCAGCATAGTACTCCAGAGCAAGGGGACCCCAGCTGAGTTTTACAGTACCTGTGGTGCAGGCTGATACTGCCACCTTGGGGAGGATGCTTTCCATGTTCTTTGAGGAGCCTAAACCAGTGTCACATAAATCAGTTTTCTTTTTTTCCCCCTGTTATATCATCCCAGAAAGACAACTTCTTAAAATCCTCTGCCCATGCTGTTGTAAGACCTTCCAGATGTGTCCTACCTCGGACTATTAAAATCATAATAATACTAGAAAGAAATGCCTTTTTTGTGGAGAAGTCTGTTTAGCCAGGTTTTAGATATTTAAGCGGTGCCTCATTTACACCACTCTTTATTTTACAGCCATCTTGCCAGCATAAAAGCCCTGTTCTGCATCCAGCTGGGCAAGCTGTATTTTGCATACAACACTTCTCCACTTCTGGGATTACAGTTTTCTTGGTAGTCTAAATCCTTGTCCATGCACAGCTTAAATTATCTCCTTGGCAGGCTACTGGCTCAGTTGGATGTGACTGCTAGGACATATACTGCCTCAGATGTCATGAGAAGCATTACATAGAAACAGTCTGATGAAAAGTAAAGAGCTAGACTGTGACAATTTAACCAAAGTCAAGACTTCTAGTCAAATTAAAGAAAGCATTTGGATTTTATCTTCACAATATCCATAGTTTTATGAGACTGATCTACCCTTTTGCTTTGTGAGTCACCCCCCATCCAGTCATCTTTGCATTTGTATCCACTAGCAAAAGAAGGAATCTTGCTACACGCTATATATAAAAATATACCTTGAGACACAAAGGCTGTGTACAGCATTGAGTCAAAAGGCTTTTCACAGTGGAAATTATCACTAGTTGTCCCGGCTACATGTACAATAGAGGAAAAGATTTAATGTCTCACCTCTCACCAGAATAGGCAGGCTAGAGAGCAGGGAGCTCTCTGAAAGCAAATAACTTGTCGATGTGCTCTTAAAAACATACAGCAACAAAATTATTACACAGCCATCTACAGCCAAGTAACACAAATGACAAACTCACTCATGACCAATGATGTGTATTTACACGAGGAGGCTGTGAAGGCACCATTAGCTCCTACCTTCTGCCAAAGCACTGGTTGTGCGTGTGGCAGCACAGTAGGAGACAACAGGCTACCAGAGGAACTGAACTCTCCCTCCACTGCTGTGGGCAGGCAGGATCAGCCCTGGGACTTCACTAAACCAATACTTGGAGGCTTCCACATAGAGCTATGTTTTGGATAACAATGTCCCCAGCAGGAATAGGCTCTGGAAAGCACCTTCCTCTTTTCCTCCCACCACAGACAGCCTATGTACCAGATTCTTGTTGTCACTGTAATGATACATATCTTAATACCCTTGAAGTAAACATGTGCCTCCACCCACCTGGGATTTGCAGTCAGAGTGGTGGCTTATCTAAACCTTTCCTTGGGAACAGACAAGAAGGCCTCACTCCAGTCTTTCATTCTATTACTAGTATCTGGTCATTAAAGCACAAATTTGTATTAATTTTCCAGTAAGGCACAGGAGTTCAAATCAGTTACTTTCCCACTTGTGAGAAATTGTCTAAAAACCAAGTGATGGATTCCTTCTGGACAATCTCTTTATCCCTGGTTTTAAGGCTACTATAGCATGGCAAAGAATGATGCTTGCAAGAGATATGTATCAACCTATCGAACCAACAGCTAACACACATTACTAGCAGTGGCACAAGCCTTCATTTTTCTTCCTGATTCACAAATCATTTCAGTATTTTAATCAATTTTATGATTATTTTAATCCATCTTTGCTAAGCAGGCAAACAGTTTTACATCTGCATATGGTTTACATTGTGTTTTGAAAATACTGCAATTATTAATTCATTGCAATAAGAGAAAGTGCATATGCTCTTCACATGCATATATGAACACACATTCAAGAACATGCAACATAAAGTAATCCCAGTTACCTCCATTATTATTCTCACATTTAACTGTTGGTAGAACTCAAGTAACTTTCAAAAATATCAACTTCATACAATCACTAATGTAATTGCAAAAACTGTATCAGCAGCTAAGCTGCAAAAATTCAACAGTGTCAATTACTAACCAAACATATGCAACTGAATGAGGATCTATCAGTAATAGATTAACCAGATTAATGTGTACGTAACAGTCTCAACATGGTACATTGCTGCTGCTAGTTTCAAAGTTCACTTATTAACTTTTTACACTGCGCACATGGTTTATGAATGAAGTCTGAATGAAAGAGGAATTTAAGAGAAAACAGGTAAGTAAAAATATGAAATTAATCTCTGTATTTAAGAGTAGACTGCTTATGGGGGGGGGGAAAAAATCCTTGATTATGATTTTAAAAAGGAATGCACAAATGTATGTCCACCCTGTCACATTGTTGTGCTACAGAAAAAGAATACAATGCATGTCTAGACTGATGAATAATTGATGACAACCATTTCATAAAGTGGTTTTTTTTTTTTAAAAAAAAAGGTATTCTTAGAAAAAAAACCAAACCAAAACAAAAAAACCTCACTGAATTCAGCAAGGAAGATCATCATGTGCAGTATTCAATGTTGCCTGTAACAAAATTAGTATGTTAATAGCTCTTGCATGTGTGGCTTTGTACTGAAGTTATTTCAAAAGATTGATTTGGGCATGGATTTAATATGAGGGAGAAAGCCTGAACTGCACATACAAGAATCTAAATAAATTAATCACAGGAAATTCCATTCTAAAATTATCCATGATCTCCTTTGAGTACTTAACCAGAGTATCTTTTTTAAAAACAAACAAACAAAAAAAAACCAAACCACAAAACACCTTCCTGAAGTTCAGGTGTCACTGGTAACTTAAAATCAGCTACTTACTTGCCAATACAGTTTTCCATCTGAAACACCTCTGAATTTATTTAACCACGTAGTATTCCTGTTACACCATTAACGTGCACCAAAAACCTTTCAGATAGTGGATTACAGAAAAGTACAAAGAGAATAAGAGGGTTTATTTATGAACAATTATAGTAACTGGAAATTATACTTACGCATCTCCTCTCTCCATCCATCAGTCTATGCTTTCCTTTGTGCCATAAGTATAAAAGATTGTACAGTATACATTTACAAAGTCTCAATTTCATATGGGGTTAGAACCTGCAGCATTGGCTATTTCAGCTCTTCTTTTTTTTCCCCATTAAGACATACTTCTTATATTTACCTGTATCAGAAAGCCCTTTCAGATTACTGTCTATTTCAACATTAGTTGTAGCTGATGAATGATGTATTCTAAGCTGCCCTCTGCTGTGAAAGTGCTCTTCTAAAAGCTAGTGCTCCTTGACTATCCATTTTTTTCTCCTAAAAACAAGTGAAGACTTACTTCTTGAAGCATGGTCACTCAAGAACAGCAGCACATATTTGTCACATTTTTCTTCCTCGCTTAGTTTTCCTCCTTTTCGTAACCTACTTTCCCTGCATGCCAGTGCTGTTTTTCATGGTTTTTCCCCAAGTCCTCCCTTCTCTGTTGCCTCTCCTTAGCTTTATGTGCTTTACTTGTTCCCAAAACTCTTCTCACACCTGATTCTTTCCCAGCTCTTTAGTTTCTGCCAGTGTAGGAGCACAACCTGTTAGGTTGCTCCTGTACCTGTGACACCTTTCATGTGGTCTTGTTACTTCTAAGCAGCAGACTGGGAAGGACAGCAAAGATCTGTCCTTGGATCAGAGGTGTATGTGCTGTACTGAATGTCTTCTCTACACCACACACTCCTTAAAACATTTTAGGCAGTGAAGGACATTGAATTTTGACTTTTTTGCTGTGGGTTTTTTTCTTTTTTTTTTTTAATAGGTTATATGAAATGGCTAATGTTATTTATCCTTCACTTGGTGACAGATTTATGGATAAAAGCATAGACAATGTCAGAGAGCAATGAGATGACCATCAACCTTGTTGTCGTTGGAAGAACTCAAACTGGCAAAAGTGCTGCTGGGAACAGCCTGCTTGGCAGCTCAGACTTTGAGAGTCATTGCTCCCCAAGTTCTGTGACTACATGCTGCAGCCTTGGGCACAGCTGTCGGATTTTGGGGATTATACGAAGAAACGGCTGCGAGCTAGCTCTCCGTGTTCGAGTACTTGACACTCCAAGCTACCCTCACACTGGTCTGAGCAAAGAGCGGGTGAGAGACACAGTGAGATCGGCCCTGGCTCACCACTTTGGGGAGGAAGGCCTGCATCTAGCTCTCTTGGTCCTGAGGGCTGACTTGCCTCTGTGTCCAGATGAAAGCCACCACACAATTCAGTTCATCCAGGTAACAAATAAATAAATAGAAACCCCTGCCCTAATGGCAACTCTTTTGTCTTCAGGTGACAAATAGCTATGGAAGAGCTGACTGCAAGAGCGAAATAGAGAAGTACAGCTGAAAACTAGAACGCTTCCCAGCCCAGCAATTGAAACGTGCCATTCACTATTCCAGTACTATAAAACACAGCTACACTTACCCCACTAAACCCGAGAAGACAGAGGCAAGAACTGCTCTCTTTTGTACATGGGTTTGGCACAAAGGAATTTAGGAACCAAATTTACCTATTGATGTAAGCTTGTCTCTCAGAAGTTACAGTTAATATTTTACCATAACGGATCTAGCTTGCTGAAGAGAAATGCTATTTAAGGCAAGTAAAGTCAGGTTACCTCACTCTCCTGTGCTCTGTATAGGACCAAAGCAGAGAGCAATGGGTCAAAAAGCACATAGAAAAATCAGACTGACCTGGGACCAGGATGCATTCCAAGAAGATATTAGCATGAAGACTACCTTTAGCAATCAGGAGTATTCACAATGATTCTCTGCAAATTAGGGATGGCATATCAATGAAGATGGCATATCTGTAGAAAACTACTGGCATTTAAATTTATCCTGATTTTTTATTTCAATAACATACCCTAATGAATTGAGAGAGTAGCAGATAACTGATTTCAGAACTAACATTAGCATTCACGGTGAGTCCTCAGCAAATCAAGGCACTACCCTCTTTCTCCAAAACTGATAATCCAACACCTCCTTTGACAGGTTATGCCAAAATTTTGTACTGGTTTAGTATTTTTTCATCCCTAGGGTCTAAAACAGATTAATAACTATCAATACACCAGATTCTTCTAACTCCCTGCTTATCTTGGAAGTAGAAAGATATCCTTTAAAGCAGCTTTATACACTTTGGTATTTAGGTTACAGCGTTAAGATTATTGTAAAGTGTACTTTATTACCAAAGTAGGCTTCTTGCCAGACACAGGAGTTGGCATGATTGCACTAAAGCTGTAATTTCATTTACATCTGTATATGAAAGCCCCATTTCTTATTCATATTAAAATTTTCTGTACTCATTGACAAAAAAAGCAGCTTGTTTTCTCCATTCCCCTCCATCAGATGAACAACAGTAGTTAAACTCTCTGGCCCATCACTTAGGTTGATGCATTTGATTTGTGTTTTTGCTGAGAATAGTTCAGTTTTATGGGATGCAGCTGGAATTGCAGTTGGTGTTGCACAGAAATTCATCTTTTATTTTTTCAATACAAGGTGATTTGGTGGTTTGAAAAAAAAAATTCAAAGATCTGTAAAAAGTATAGAAACACAGGTATGTGGAGACTACTGATGAAAACTAATGTGTGACATAGCTAAACAACCATTTTCCTGTATTTACATAGGCATTTTTTTAAACTGGAGAAATTCTATTAACATGTGTAGTAACAGAACCGAGAACTGCTAGTACTGCACAAAAACATATTTCCACTGAAAGTGGATGTCAGTGTCCTGGGAAGGTGAAAAACTCCAGAAATTTCAGCAACTCAAGATATCATGAACTGGATTACTGCCAGAAAAAGAACATATAACTGGTCTGTTAATGCATAAGTATATGAGGTGGGAGTGGAGAAAAGGAACAAGAAAAGATAACTAAGTTTTGTTTTTCATTACAGGAACTTCTGGGTCCCACATGGAAGGATTTCACTGCAGTTCTACTTACTCATGCAGACAAGGCAGAAGAGGCTGGATTCAGTGAGGAAGCATACTTGCACAGTGCCTCCAGTACACTGTTGTCACTTTTGAGCTTAGTACAGCATAAGTACATTTTCCTAGACAACCAGAAGAGCATAATTAAAGAGGAAAGAGCTACTGTCTTAAGAAAGCTCCTGAATTTTATAAGACAAAATAATTATCAAGTGCTTCTACTTAAACACAACAAGGAATAAAATTAGCTTTCAGGTGCTCCTTTGTCTATTTTCTATGGTAGGTAACATTTAATAGAGTAGAAGCCATCAAATGGAAAATTCCACATCCATACCAAACACCTCTGAAGACACAGTTGCAAATACATCTTTAGATTACCAGACTATCCACCTTTCATGGAGTACCTCACATTACTGCATTCAGAATCCTAGCTTCAATCACAAAATCAGAACAAGCTAGTGCGCTAAATCACGCTCCTAATATGTATGTAGTCACAAATGAGATTTTACACTACACCCGACTGTATATTGCAGTTCATACAGAACACAGATTGGAATAAAAAAAAAAAGTAAAAAATGCATAAGTTCAGATTGTAAGGGAGCCTCTTTGTTAAATTACTAAAAGCTACTGTAAAAGAATTTCCTTATCTTGATCCAGGATTAGTTAGAATTGAGATTTTGGACTTCAAATTTTTTTTTAATAAGACCTTATTGGGTATGTAGTTTACAAGGCAGATAAAATAGCTCCCATGTGTTTAACACTATTTGGCACATTTAAAAGAACTAATTATTATTGCTTATTACCAGATGTATAAAAAATTAACATAGTTCATAGGTACATACACAACTAATTTGAAAAAGAAATCTGTTCACCTCTTCTTTTGTGCCTGTTCCTGTTCATTCTATATCAGTTTAATTTTGCTTTCTCTCCCAGCTTACTGGATGAAGTTCAAAGCCTGCAAAATTCAGAGTGGCTATTTTTTTTTCATTTGAGTGGTTAAAATAGCACTTACTGTTTCAGCGGTTAGACAGTAACCAGTTAACTAAATATTATATGCCAAAATATCTGAAGTATCTCTAAATAGTTACTTCAAAGTTTTATTGTAAATTGATCTAAAATAGTTCTTTTCAGATTATTAAAAAGCAGGAACTAAAAGAAGTAATTTGAGGCTATTATCACATCAACCATGACTACCTGTACTACATTACTATAATTCTAATTGTAAAAATCAAAGTAGCTATTTCTGTTAAAACCAAAGCATCTTTTGTATAAAATATCATTGCATAAAAATACAATAAAACAAAAAATCAATTCACTTTCTACCTGCTTGGGCTTTGGAAACTGGTAATTTTTTTTGTAGCATTTGATGAGCTCTGGTAATCTATTTGCTATTCATTTTTTCTTAGTACTACCTGTCATTTGTAAGGAAATACCTAGGTGGACTAGATAAAGAACTGTTTTAGCAAAGTCAAAGCTTTGATCTTACTGATATCGTAACAGTGTAACATGAAAATGTGCCCATTTGTATATCTTAGGGCATAAAGGGCCATAGTTTAACCTCTCCACTACAATTGCCTGCACACTACTGGGACAACACGGGCAAGAACAAAGTGGCAGAGGCTTAGAATATATCTGAAAACTGTTGGAAGAAGAGGAGAAAAACTATTATAAGGTGACTAGAAGAATGAAGACGAATGTGGTCTGAGCAACTGATAGTCCTGCACCTCTTGAAGAGCAGCTGGCATACAAGGAACATGATAGAAATTTTTCAATATTGAAATGCTCTTGCTGTCCAGAAAATATCCTGGTCTGCCTGCAGTTCTACCATGAACAAGGCTTGGCAATTAAGTGTTAAGCACCGAGCAGCTAGTGAGTCTTGACAACGCTTAACTTCAAGGACAGTAAGCATGGTGAATGATCGAATTGTGAAAATGTTGGGAGGCATAACACATTCCACACCTCTGAAAGAGAAGTCAAACCAAAAAAGTATTAGCCATGCATTTCAGAGGGGTAATATATTCATGTTTTTTATTGTGTTTGCATTCCTTTCCATTTCAACATCTGAGAAGCTTCTAATAACCATTTATTTAATTCCACTGTTTGCCATGGTCTCTGCCCTGCAAACTCCTTTTCCTTTCACTTCAAATGGAACTCCTTTGTACGTAGCAACACACTGGTCATTGGTAAGCAGATCAGGTTGGACTTGCTCCCAAATCTTCTTCTTGGGATTAAGTTCCTTCTCAGGATCTCCTGTTTCAAAACAAAGAATAACCTAATAGCACATAACACAGAAGGCAGAGCAAGAGCTCTATGTATGTACACATCTGTGACAGCCCACATAGCATCACTGCACACACTTTTAAGAGAAAAAAAAACAAAAACACACATTACCCGCGATTCTCAAAATTAAAACTTTACTTGGAATTAGGGATTATCTAGAAAATGTCTCCAGAGCCTCTTTCAAAATGTTTATCTCCCAGCAGAAAAAAGGTTGTAAGTAACAGATCACAAATATTGTCAAAAGGAAGAAATCAAACCATTACTAGTTGATGGTTTACAAAACTTACTAGACACCAAAAGGATTCCTAAGAATTCAGTAGATGTGGACCACAGAAATACACTACTCACCAAGACACAGGTTTGTCAGCATCTTAAGTTTAGGAATTAATAAATTCTTATAAGCTATTAATATTAAGTGAATTTGGCAGATGGTCCTACAGTTGAAAAACACTGCATTTAGACAAGAATAGTCCAAAATTAGGATACTGACATGTAATTTTAGCCCCACGTTTCAACACTGTTCTCCTACTTTTTGTGGTACTTGATGACAAACTATGGTGCCTAAAACAACAGAAGTATTAGAAGTCAGTTTGTATTTCAGCAATTATGGTCTTAAGCCCCTACAACTCTCAGTTCCCTGTTTCTATGTGCACACCACGATAAGCTACCTATGCCCTACAGGCACTGATAGTCTAACTACATTAGCAAATCTGACTATTTAGGGATCTCTAATGACCACAAAATGCAGTTTTCTTCTACTGATGTTTTGAAATACTGTTAACAAATTGCACAGAATAGTGAAGAATTTCAGAGGCATATTTTTCCTGCTTTTAATAGGCATGAAATGCAAAGTATAGGAACAAAACAACTCAGCTAAATAGCTCTCCTAGTGCAGAGATACAGAATAATCTGCTGCCTGCTGACATAATCTAGATAAAGCAATACAACCAACTCATTGTACAATTATTTTCTGTTCAAAGGTCAAGTAAATTTAATCTCTTAATTCTAATACAACACATTCTCTTAAAGAAAAAAGATATTTCATTAAAAAGTTATTTAATCATAATGCTGTTGAGTGCTCTTGACCTCTTGTGTGTAACACAAGACAAATTAAAAAAAAAAACAAACCACACCAAACACAAGACTTGTTTTAAATATAATAAGAGAACATTTAAATGCTGAAAAGTATCCCATACTATTTCACTGTTGATACACTATATATGTTTTTTTATTTGCTTGAAGTGCCATATTGGCACCACTCTGGTCAAACTATTAAAATTTTAAGTTCCAGAACAAGCAAGAATCAAAAACCAAAATCCTAGTAAGCAGATCGTCGCTGAGATCCTCTTAGAGGAGCCAGGAGTTCCTAAGGGTAAATGCAGAGTTCTCCAAGTCAACAGAGTGTCAAGTACTTCCACCTTCCACTACTCGGTGCCCAAAGGTTCAGGAAGAAAAACTGTAAGTCTCCATGGATTTTAACTCATGTGTTTCTCAAAGCTGGTTGAAATTCATTACTGCTTGGTGTATTCCTGACCAGCTGACCAATAGACAGTTAAAAAAACTGCGCTCATTCCAGCCTGCCATATTGTTTTACTCCTTTAAATGTTTTCAATGGTTCAATCTATTCACATTCTAAATGCTTGCAAAAGTAAGTTACTTCCGCCCATAGACAGGTCTAACTTCTGCAGCTTCTGTATCTGTAACTGTGTAAGAGAAGCAGACCAGGCCAGATTTCTCTATTAAGTAGGCTAACCTTGCCAGCTCAAGATTCAATAATGCAATCGAGTTATTTCACAACCACAGTGCACTTAATATTTAACAGAAAAATCAGTAATACCATTAAACAGTTTGAGCTAATTGTGCATATTCACACACTCACAAAAAAAATCCTGCTCAATGTTCAAGCTCATGAACAAAGACAGACTTGGATTTAGACCAAAGTGAATGCATATGAACTAATAAAATCATTAAACAGAATGTTAAATGACCCATTGTGCATTTTCTTCCCGCTCCTCAAATATAAAAAGCAAGTGAATTTTTTCAGGAAGAGGAAAACCTGACTTTTATTATAAAAAACACGCTTTGGATGTTAATAAGTTTCTTTGGAATCCTGTGTCAAGCTCCCTTGGGATCTGTGGTGAGCTCATGTTAGATTAGCATAGGCACTGATTTTAAATACTACCAGAGCTTTAGGCTATGCATTTTCCAATGACTTCTCCTCATTGCATTCCTTCTTCCCAGAAAATATTCTTTAGAAGCATTTCTATAAATAAAATAAATTTAAACTTGTAATGCTTTAGTGAGCTTCCCACTCTCTTTACATAAAATGAACCAAATAAGAGGCCCCAAATTTTGTTAAACGTGTCACTCAGTCTAGTAATTTAAATATTACAAAATAAATTATCATATTAAAAAAGAAACCTCTCTACTTTGTATTAGCTCATTAACTACTGAAAGAATAAACCTTAGTGCAAGAGGCACAAAGATGCAGTGATGTATGACCTTATGAAAAGCTAATACCACTTAGTCCACTGTGGATTGTAACTATGCACCTGAAGAAAAGCATCCATACACCAAAGCTTTAATCAAAGAAACCTGTTAAACACAGACTAACCACTGCACTCTAGTTTTAGCCTCTTTTTTTTTTTTTTTTTAAAGAGATAGTTATTAACTAAATTGTCAGGTATTCTTAGACCAGAATGATTATTTAATTATATAATTCAAATAACAGAATTGTAGTTCCTGTGGCATTTTTGCATTAAAGAGTTTTGTCAAAACATCATATAAACTGCTATTAGAAAGAAGATTTCAGTTAGCTGTGAAAACTACAAGAATTTTTTCTGTCTCACAGTAATTACTGTGTAGGAGGGTATATTATTTACAGACATGCAATGGAATAATTTTTCTATGGCTTATAAATTGGACCTTTTCCACTGACGCCAGATAGAAATTTTATAAAGTTCATAACACAAAAAAGGCCCAACAGATCTTGAAGATTCCCATATTGGAGTATGAAACACTGTTAAAGTGCCCCTAAAGGCAATAATATCAAATAAACAAACAAAAAAGAACACTTCTCCAGAC